CTGTTTGTATCGCCCTAAAAGAATATTATTAAATTAGAAGAAATGAAAAAAAAAATTCACGATCACTCTAGATCAAGGTCTGGCCTTGAAGAAAAAGGCAAATTCAGTTATTACTGCCGAGCTTTCGACCTATTTTAAGATCATCATCAGGGTCTAAAATTAATTTCACATTACGAAACACATATTTGTACAATAGATTCAACAATTTTTTTCATAACGTGAAAATTATTTGGAGAAGGTGAGATGCGGTATGGTGTGACCTAGGTGTTAGAAAAACATTTTCTTTATTGTGCCAACGTTTCGATCTTTATTGAAATCATCTTCAGGGCCTGGGATTTATAAACATTTTTCAAATATATATTATATATTTAAAAAATATACATAAATAGTATTAATTAATTAAATTAATATTAAATATACATATGTATGTACACGCGCGCGCGCGGTATCTGGTGATAAATGTTGAAAATTTCAGGATGTCATGCACCATATGCAACAAAAAACTTCCTATAAACCCCTGTCCAATTCTAAACGGTAAAGAAGTAATTTTATGTTTTGTGTTTTTTTTCCGACATAGGTCCACTGAATTGCTTATAAACTTCAGAATTACTGGTTGTAAAACAATCAGGTTTGTGCCACCTAAAAGAACGTTAAATTTTCTGTGAGGAAACCTATTTACATTGTAAAATTGATGAAAAAATCCTGCACGAAAAATTCAGAAAAAACAAAAATGTTGAAATTTAATTTTTTTTAAATTTTGGATTGGTAACTTAATACCTACAAACTCCTGAAGCTTTGCAAATTCCCTCAAAAATTGTCCTTTCAATTAGCTTCCAGCGGTATACCTCACTTATTGGATTGCCATTCGGGAAGGCCAAACAATTTTTCATTCTGTTGGAAAAAAACTGATGTCGATAAAGGGGGGATAAAACTCCGTCTGGCTCTTGAGTTCCGTGTCAATTCTTTAATGTTCAATTCAATCAGTTTGCCAGTTTGCTTTATGTTATCAGCTGACAACTTCCTCGGGTTGGTGATTTAAATTATGTCCTTCTTTCCTATATATATTTGGGTTGATAGGAAGTTTGTTGTTGCATATGGTGAGTAGAACCTCCTGAAATTTTCGACACTTATCGGCAGTCACCCCCCATTATATATATATATATATATATATAAATATATAATTTTTCGACTTGTGTAACTTTTCTTGGTGGTTTGCGACATGTAGCATATCAAAAATTGTCATAACAAGTATAACATAGAAAATTATTAGAGCTCTTCCTGAAATGGTACTATTGTGTAAAAAGCGTTCATTTATTATTAATAGGTTCTGTACTTAAAGTTATAGAAATTGATTTGAAAAAAAATTGTACAGGTAGTTATACAAGATAATACAGACGGTATGACAGTGGTACATATTTTATAATATAATATACCAGTTTTAGTTTATTGTCACAACTAAATTTTGTCCTAAACGAATTATCAACTAAATAGTAAATAAATTTTATAATGCTCTTGAAGATGTAAGCAGGGTGCTAAATATTTATTGATGTCAGTCTCACTTCAAACATTTTTCCTGAAATATATCCAGCCTCGTTGCGTTAAAGAATCAGGTTTCTCTGGAAGATGTTACCATCAACTTTGTAACGCGATGCTCTCCTTGGAAATCTAATGCCGATATTTGTTCTCCCTTTGCGACTGAGAGGTATATTATGGCTGGGACCTTTTGAATAATAAAAGCAGAAAACCTCCATGTTTAATATAATGGGAGACAATTATTTTAGCGAAATTAAGAAATGAAACAATAAAATTTTAACTCACATACAAACTTATGTAGTTTGTAAAGATGGCTGATATGTACGTTCAGAATCGTAATACGGACAGGATTTAAGATAAATAATGCGAATGCAACCCTCCTACACAAATATAAAAAGGGAATATACTTATAAAACTTGTTGATCCTCTTAAGAAGTCGGCCACTCAAAGTAATGCTCTTCAGTTGAGAAGTTCGATCCTTGAGATAAAGCCTGCCCTATACTTTCTCTTTTCACGTTTAAATTCATAAAGTGCAAAAGCCAATAAAATTCTCTATTATTAAAACGCCACCGCTACAACTTTAGTTACACAATAAATAAACAATATGTACAATAGAAAATTCTTATAATCATTGTAGCGAAGTAAATTAAATCGTGTTGTCTTGGTTTCTCCCTCGTTCAAGGTTGAGAAACTCAGGCACTGGATTGTCGGCAACAATTCCGCAGAGGCGTCGTGATTTTATGAGATTGCGACTTGTTGAAGAAGGGGTGATAACAAGGGAAGGCTCCGCAATAGGATTATGAAGCGAACAACATGTAGCAGGAAGTGTGCCAGAACGAAGTTTATCGCAAGTTGCGTCTTTGACTTTATTAGCATGTATTTTCCATGAAAGCTTATCAAGCCCGACCATTTCACCGGTTCGTATTATTAAATTTACTCTCATCTAGTACAGTATAAGTCATTTTAATCAATTGTGATTCTAGCAATAGTTATGTGCAAAATTAATAATTATCATCATGTTACTGTACGCGGCTTTCCGTCTGTCGTAAATCAAATTTTTTAGTAAAGTATTTCGTTTCTACAAGTATATTTGCAATCCAAGGGCAAATGTTTCTAAAGATATAACAATGTAATAAATTAGAACATGTCATTAATTACTAGAAATGTATAAATACCTAACAATACATTTATAAATTCATATTACAACCAATATCAACAAAAATACTAAAATGATATTTTCACTATTTTTGTTTTACATTTTCAACTTTGCAGCCTGTAGTTGATGCTGCATGTTGGTCTGCGAGTCGGCGAACTCACAACCGGCACTGGGTCACTTATTGGGTCCGTATTCAATCGCGTTTTATTTTTTATTTTTGATTCGGCTCAAACCGATTTCGGCATTGCGCCATCTTCAGTAAGGAAGGAACTGTCATTTTGTCTGAGAAGGGATTATGTACCGTTGGGACCGTCAGTTATCGCTAGGGTCGTTGTTAGAAGTGCGGTGTACGTTGGTCAGCTGTGATGTCTGTTATTTCCTTTAGTTTGTTGTTATTTCTGATCGTTTGCTTTTTTGTAGCTGCTTTTATGTAGTGTTTTTAGTGGTGTGAAAGTAGTATATGAATGTGAGTTTGTTTTTACATTTATAATTTTCCGCCTTAAGAATTTTTTTAATTTTTTAATTTTTATTTATTTATTTATTTATTTATTTATTTTTTTGCAGGGGCATACGACAGCTTGATCATTTCAGCCCCGTAGCACTAGGAAAATATCGCAACACACACACGATCACACCAAATATTTGTTGTTATATGTCTAGTTCTTTAGTACGTTGAGTTTTGTGTTTTAAATTCATGCTTGTTTCTTTCATTGTGATATATTAAGTGTGAGAGTTAATTTGATTTCCCATCGTTGTCTCTGAAGGATTTGAGAAGTTTTTTAATCGATTTTTTAAAATTTCTTTCCAGTCTGTACATTGTTTGAGTCTCCGCATTGACAGTAACGTTATGAATATTTCCTGCGGGTCAGTTGTGTGTGTTCCTCTTCAGTAGTTTAACTGTGTTATTATTGGTCGTTAATGCTGTTTTTCTGTTCCGAGTTTGGAAATTGGTTCATTAATCTGTAGGTGTTTCTTCCTGTGAATATTGTCCATTTTTTAATAGTTTATAGTATGGTGCTTGTTTTGTATACGTTTTTCATCACTAATTTTGTTATTATTTGTAGTTCTTTGTTGTAATTTTCAGTGTTGTGTGGGTTGAATTTTAGTTTTGCGTTTGTGTGGGTGGTTGGATTTTCCGTTTAGGATGTCGGTGATTGCGGTGGGTTTTCTGTACATTTGGAATTTTATTGCTGGTTCTGGTGGGTGTTAAGAACAAGAAGTTGATGCTGTTGTTATTTTCAGTTTTTCTGGTGAATATAATGTTTTTGCGTATGGTAATTGTTCTTAAGTATGTTTTCTGAGGAGGAGTTGTCTGCTAGTATGTCTTCGACATATCTAAGTAGATAGATTATTCCATTTTCAGCCATATTTTTGGGAACGTTTTTAATTCTCCAATTTCACTCCAATAACTGGTTTTTAGGAACCATTTTTATTTATTGATGTCTTATACTATTATAAATAATAGAAATAGTTTCACATCCTTTCAAAATGTTTTCTAGATGAATGATCAAATTGTTTCTATCCTTAATAATCTATTTTAAGATTCCTCAGTAATATATTTTTTCGTTACTTAATTAGATTTGACCAATTTTTAAATATTCAGTTTTTTTTGTGCAAAATATCTTAAAAATTCAGTTTACACCGAAATATTAAAATTCAAAAGCTTACATATCTATTGTAAAATTCTTGACATTTATGGTTACCCATGTCGGCCAACGATATGTTTATCTTCGTAATGCAGGAACGCAGTTGATCCGAAAATTTGCATAAGTCGTGAAACTTTCTCCCCTTTTGTTTATGAGTTAAGGTAGTTCCAGGGGATTTACGGTAAAGAGATATTTGCCCCAAGGAGATAAGTGAATCCACATGAATTTGTTTTGATCCTCGTAAGAACACACGAAATTCCCCAGCCGGCAGCGGCCTGGCAATAAAACATTTATAGCTCATAACCTTTCTAATGTCACGCTATACTAAAATAACTTCAGACGACCATGGAAGCCCGTAATGGTTTTATTATTCCGAAAAGAGGGATGTCAAAGTTGTGACCGGAAGATGGAATAAACATTTTCCTGTGTATGCATAAAAAAATGGTGGGGAAGGGAAGTTGAGCCGGAAAACAGAAGGCAAAACTGCGTTTTCTATGAAGATCCTTTTAGCTTTATTCACGACCCGCTCAACGCATTTAGAGTCTCCCCGATTTACAATTTTCCGTATTTTTATCGTCTGCCGTGATTTAAAAAAATGCATTCTTGCTAAAAGTAGTTCGTAAATTGTTCAAAACTAAAATATTTTTGGTTTAATTTGTATTTACCTGTCTATACTTATAGCTACGAGATTAAAGATGGAAGATGTGCTACAAGTTACGTCCATTGCAATGTAGAAATCGCACACGAATGCTGGTAAACTCCAAGACCCGTTCACCTAAAGAAAAAGAAATCTGTTATGTCATTGTTTCATAAAGCTATATAAACTTAATTTTTTATAAACAAAGTTAATATTTGTAGTTAAGAGATGAAACTAAGTGTTTTTATTTCTTTCAAATTCCCCTTATGCTTGGATTTTTGGGTAGTTAATATTCAAGTTCTTATGAAATTATTTATAAATTAATTTAACATTTTTTGTTCATAGATTGAACTGAGTATGTTTATTTCTTTCAAATTCCCCTTATCGTATGTATCATTCTTGCTGTGGTGTTGAGTGTGGGTAGTTTCAACACGGAAGGCAAGAATGACACATCTACACAAAACAAACTCTATGAGCACTGAAGATGATTTTCATAAAGATCGAAACGTTGGCATGATAAAGAAAATGTTTTTATAAATCCTACGTCACACCAGACCGCATCTCAAATAATCCTCCATCACCTCCAAATAATCACTAAGTGACGGTTACTAACCACCACACATATAATTGTGGGATAGTTAATATTCAAGTTCTTATGAAATTATTTATAAATAAATATAACATTTGTAATTAAGAGATTGAAAAGAGTTTTTATTTATTACAAATTCCCCTTATCCTGATTTTTTTTTTTCAATTATAATATTAAGACTTACATCAATCATATCAAAATAATTTGAATTTATTGTATAATTTAAAAAATATGTAGGATAGTCAATATTCAAGTTCTTATAAAATTTTTTATAAATTGCTCGAGCTTGTCGCCGAGAATCGAATCCTGATTACTCGACATTTGAAAAATGACAAAAAGGAATGAAAATTCGAAAGGCAGGTCGAGATGGGAAGTTGGTGTCAAAGTGGATCGAACGATAGCTCAAGTGGTAGAGCAGCGGCGTATTTACCCTAAGGTCGTGGGTTCGAATCCCGCTCGTGACGCTAACTTTTTAATTTCAACCAATTCCTTTCATAAATATTAATTAATTAAAAGAAGCTATTTGTCAATCGAACCACGAACTCTAATCGATTTATTAAATTTATCATTTGCAGTTCAGAGATTGAACTGAGTGATTTTATTTCTTTCAGATTCCCCTTATCCCTGATATTTTTATTAGCAATTTTAATATTAAGACTTACATCAATCATACAATAATAATTTCATTTTATTATATAATTTTAAAAATAAGTAGAATAGTTAATATTCAAGTTTTCAAGAAATTATTTATAAATAAATTTAACATTTGTTATTCAGAGATTGAAATGTGTGTTTTTATTTCTTTCACAGTCTGCTTATCCCTGATTTTTTATTTTCACTTATAATATCAAGACCTACATCAATCATATAATAATAATATCATTTTATTGTATAATATAAACAATACGTAGGATAGTTAATATTAAAATTTTCATGAAAAGACAAAAACTTGAATTTATCTTTCTACGATTATTTACGATTTCAAACATTCGCGTTTTTTGCAACTGTATCCAACTTTTACCTGCGGCAAATCGCACAGTATTTTTAGTCAAGTTAAATTTGAAACGGTGTTACAAAGATTTAATACAATTGCCAGCTTATCGGACGTTAGCCATACCATTGTTTCTCGATGATACAAGGCCGGACATTTGGTTTCGACGGAGTTTACACAGTAACCGCAACGCAAACAATAGAATTTAATAATTATGTTGGCCACTACCGTTAGAAAGCATATTTTATAACTCAATAAAAAGAAGTGCCTTCATGTTATTTTTAATCTTCGAGAAAATTCGTTTTCTTCATGTTTGTAAATATATTAAACGTATTTTATTCTACTTTAGCCCAAAATAACAACAGCAGCATCAAACATGCCGAATAGAGTTTGAAGAGTTTTCAAATATATTAAGAAAAGATATTCATTTTTTTATTTAGAGATTTGATGCTGCTATTCTTAGGTACGCTTTAAAAAAAATAGCAGTCGAAGAATGTAAAAATATTAAAACTCGAACCAAACTAATGAATAAAAATTAACTAATCACTTATCAAAAAGTAAAAACAATAATTGCGAAATAAACTTTGCTTCAATAAAATAGAAGGAGAATAAATATAAATTATTTAAAAATACTATAATTATTTTAGTATCCAATAACTATAAAAAATATATAAAACGTTTGAATGTATAAGGTACCTAATCGAATGTTAAATAATCCCAACTAGTAATTCATTGTAAATGATAAGAACTATTAGTTATTCAATAACTGTTTTATGTTTTACCTGTTACTAGTGTTGTAATTACACTTGTTTATATTATAAATTGTAATTAATAACATTTTTAGTGGATTTCAATTATTGAATGTTGTTGCTGAGATTATTATGGTAATTGTCATTTTTCGCCGAGAATCAAATAAATTACACGACATTTGAAAAAGAGCAAAAAATAGGGAAAATTCGAAAGAGAGGTAGTGATGGGAAGTTAGTGTCCGAGTGGATGGAAGTCACGATAGCTCAAGTGGTAGAGCAGCGGCGTATTTAGCCGAAGGTCGTGGGTTCGAATCCCGCTTGTGACACTGAATTTTTTATCTCAACCAATGCCTTAAATACACATTTATTAATTGAAAGATATTATTCGGTCAAGCGGACCAAGAAAACTAGTGAATTATTATGGTAAATTCAATTGAAATGGAGAGATGCATTAGTTAACCCTGTGTATTATATTCTTGGTGTTCAGTGTAAATTTAATTCTTAATTTCATTGTACAGTCAAATCAATTCAAAATATTTTTATTCGTTAACAATCCTAAGTACAAATTGTATGAATTAAAGTAAAATAATTACATATAAATACACTACAAAGGAACTACGCACTAAGCGATAAAAATAAATAATCGTAACAAAGTAGTTAAAAAACTACATTGACATAAAATTTATATGGTTGTCACATTATAAAATTCATTTTCATCTAGAAATTTCAAATAATTTCTTCTAAAATTCTTAACGTTTTTAAATGTAATAATATTGGTGCCCTTTCTAAGTTGAAGCCATCAGAAGGAAGCAATTCACCAAACAGTGGCTGACGCCAGAGTAGTGTCAATGCATTGTAAGAAATATTCATGGTATCTCTGGGTTTCCAGAGTATGATGCGCACTGCTTTTCTTGAGTAAAAACCCTCACTTAAAAGATCAGGATCACTATCCCAAATGCCAATGATACACCGCATGATTACTCAATAACAGCTGCTTAAGCTCAACCGGCCTTAATCGCTGCAAACCGAAGCAAAAGCAGACTCCGAGGAAGGTTTCATCAACGAGGGGAGGTAATAGTTGCTAATAATGAGAGTTGACTGAGTTTTTTTTGTAGCGTTTATCTGCCTTACTAAGTATTATGCAATTTGATTTAGAATAATTGAGCTCCAACTGTTTTAATGAAAACCAAATGGATGCCTTCTCGAACAGCTCTCCTGTGGAGCATTCTCGAGGGTGTCTGCGCGCTCAACAAAGTTGAAGTCATCGGCGTAGTTGATAATAAGCAGGAAGCAAAGAATATCATTGAAAAACTATAGGCAAGATGGGAAAAGTAACTTCAGTAACTTCCAACGTACTAACAGCTAAGGGCAATTTAGCAGAGCCGCTGGGCATCCCCCAACATCCCTGCCGAAAGGAAAAGAACCAAACCAGGACAAAAACCCGAATACCATTTTTTCAACCTAATCAGATGAATGTTATGATCTACTGTTCAAAACCCTTCGATAGTTCCACGAAAATACCAATCACCTGATCTCCCTAATGCAGCGCTTCAACATAAAATAAGTGAGGTCAAAGGGTGCTTAATCGGTAGATCTGTTTTTCAGGAAGTAATGTTGGCTCTCCGGAAACCCATTTAACCATAAGCTGGTTATAGTTCAATATTTTAAGTAAATGTTTATATTGATTAACCTTATAAATTATTAATAATATTCTAATAAGTGAGGTAAAAGTGTGCTGAATCGGTAGATCTGTTTTTCAGGAAGTAATGTTGGCTCTCCGGAAACCCATTTAACCATAAGCTAGTTATAGTTCAATATTTTAAGTAAATGTTTATATTGATTAACCTTATAAATTATTAATAATATTCTAAGCCCTGATGGAAGGAATAAGTACCACAAGGAAGAAGCTAAGCGTTACTTTTCCTTTCGAATTGGCCTGGTGATCTCAATACCAAATCCGGCTACTCAATCAAGAAAGTTATGAGTTTGAATTAATTTGGTTACGTTATTAAAAAGAAAAATTTATTTGTTGGTTTTCAGGAAACGTCTATATGTAATCCGCAATCATATTCATATTTCTTATGCCTTGAATTTTTAAAAGTTTACAGCGTCCTTCCTCGAGCCCAAGAAGCGTCATCCCTTAGTTATTCAATTAATTCTGGCGGGCAGACTGTCAACCTGTTTTATCCAGCGTCGCCTTGTGAATACATTATACAACGTGCCCTGAATAACCGCCATTATTAATATCCCTCTTCTGTCACAGATGCCTGTCTCTTTTGCCAAACTGATCATGCTACGCAAAAAACCAAGCACTAGTTTAATTTCGTGCAATTATCAAAGGACGAGATCGTGTGAAATGCTTTTGACAAAAAGCCCACATAATATACGCTCCAGAATTGCTGATATAATAAACGACATTTATAATAATTTTCAAGTTAATTAAGGTTTTAAGTTGAGATAAAAAAAATCAGTGTCACGAGCTGGATTCGAACCCACGGTCTATGTATGTACCTACTATGTATAAGTAATTTTGTCGTTATATTAATTACAACACGATTATTTTAATGTAAACCAAATTAAACGAGATCAAAAATTTATGAGTTTTTATAAGAATTATTTAATTATGATGGTTAGGCCGAAAATGAAACACTGGAATAACTGTAAACAAAACAATTAAATTTAACTGACAATGTAGGTATTGTATAGTTATTCTCATACAATTTAAATAACAATTTATTACAAGTTCACTAATTTCGTAGTCCGCTTGACCAATTAATATATTACAATTAAAGTTTTTAGTTGAGATAAA